TCACTCTGAACAAAGAATAATAATATTGCTGGATTTCACAGCATGACACTATGGAATCAGCACTGCGTACCTTAGTGTCTCTTTTTCTTCAAAGTAGCTGTTCATTTCATCATGCATTATACAATCAATTCTCATAAATTATTTAGAAGTTCTATGCATGTATGCGTCTCTACATGTATACCTATCCTTTCTGTAATATAGGGAAAACAAAACACATTACTAGGAAAACAAAACAAAAAAGACAAGTAAATAACAATAGCAAAGAGCCCAAAACACTGACAATATAGGCCTTCCAAACAAGGCAGTAGGAGCATAACTAAGGTTGTTATTTTACATAATGATCTTCAAGAGTTCCTCAGTTCCTCAGATCACCATGCACAATTGTTCCAGTCCTATGAATGTTAACTATTTTGTTCCAAGAACTTATAGACTTTGTAACACAATCATCTTAGCTATCCCAAGTGTTTATATAATTTTAGATATTTTTTCTTTTCCCTTCCTTTTTCTTTTTCATTTTCCCTGAGATATTATTTTTCCCCTTTAAGCAGATTCTTATCCTTTCACTGTATTTATTGAATTTTTTGTATTTTATGTACTCTTACTATTTCTTATACTAGGTTTTTTAATATTAGATATATAATTTCATGTGTAATGTGAGACAGCAATAATGTTTCTATAAAACTAGCATCCATAAGCAGTATCCTCATGGATGGAGAAGAAATAGATTCATATTATACTTGACCCACCAAAGCAATTTTAATTGTTCCTATAATGAAGGTAGTGGTGATAGTAATTTGCCATATGCCTTATAAAGGAAAACTTTGCATATATTTTACATATTTGCTTAATTGGTTAGTTCTTACAACCACTATGTAGGGTAAACAGTATTGTTGTTCCCATTTACAAATAGGGTAACTAAGGCACACTATGTTGTGTCATTTGTTAAAAGACAAAAATCTAATAAATGGAATAGCTATACAGAGAGAAGTTAAATATCATCACTGCTTAACAAAGTCTCACAGTATTTATGAGGTGAAATTAACTAAATAAAATTGGTTACTTCCTGATTTTTAAAACTTACACAGATACTTTCTTAGTAAAAGTTGACAATTTAGGCACTTATGTGGTTAAACCACAGACTTCCTATTACCTTTATAAACTTTGTTAGCAAACACATTTCTCAGAAGCATTACTTTTTTTATCAATAAACATTTAAAAAAGCACCAAGGGGTTTAGGTGTGGCTCAGTGGTACAGTGCTTGCTTAGGTGCACAAGGCCTTAGCTTCAAAGGCATTTATAACTACAGCAGCCAGAGGAACAGAGATCACTTTAAAAAGAAAAAAAGCAGGGAGCTGGGGATTTAGCTCAGCGGCATAAGTGCCTGCCTTGCAAGCAAGCAGTCATGAGTTCGATCCCTGGTATCAATAAAAAAACGAAAAAGACAAAAAAAAAAAAGAAAAACAGCAGATCTGCAGAGATATAATTCACACACCTTGCAACATACCCATTCAAAATTGTTGTCAGTATGTTTGCAGGACTAAGTGACCATCACCACAGTCAAGTTTAGAATATTTTCACCACTAAAAGAAACCACATACCATTAGCAGCCCCTCTCCATTTTCCCAGAAGCCTTAAACCGTAGGCAGCCACTTCCTGTACACTTTCCTGTGTATTTCCTGTCTCCACAGATTTATTCATTGTAGACATTTCATATAAATGAAGTCATACAATTTGTGGTCTTTTATGATTGGCTTCTTTCACTTAGCTGAGGTTTTCAAGGTTCAGTCATGTTGTAACAAGGCATGTTAGCACTACATTCCTTTACAGTGCAAATGTACGGTATGGCTATACCTTTTATCTCTTGATGGGTATTTGAACTGTTTTCATCTTGAGCTTTCTGAATAATACTACTGAGCATTTACCTACAAGTTTTCATGTGCAGCATATGCTTCACTTCCCTTGGGTAGAATTCTCGGAATGAAAGGAACCTTGGAAATCTCTGAAACAGTCACAGATAACATTAGACTTAATGCTTCCCTTCTAAGATCAGAAACAAGCAAAGTATGCATCTGCTACTTTTATTTAACCTGTGTCATGAATTCCAGCAAGGAAAGATAGTCAGGGCAATGAAATGAAAGCTCTTTCAATTAATTATCTTTATTTGTAGACAACATGATCTTGTATGTAGAAATTCTTAGGGAATCCACTAAACTTATTAAAACTAATGTCAGGGGCTGGGGATTTAGCTCGGCGGCATAAGCGCCTGCCTTGCAAGCAGGCAGTCGTGAGTTCGATGATCCCCGGTACCGATAAAAACGAAAAAGACCAAAAAAAAAAAAAAAAAAAAAAACTAATGTCAGTTCAGTAGCATTGCAGGATACAAGATGATTATATAAACACTGATACTATGTGCGATTGTTACCATAACCCCACTGAAAATTCAAGGGTCAAATGACTAGAATAAAGACTTCGTGAAAATTCCTCAAAATACCAAAAATAGAACTACCCAGTGATCTAACAATCCCACTTCTGCATGAATATCCAAAGAAAACCCAGTCAGTGCATTGAAGAGATGTCAGCACTCTCACGTTCATTGCAGCATCATTACTGTAGCCAAAATATGAAAATCACCTCAGTGTTTGTCAATAGATGGATGACTAAAGAAATGTGGTATGTGTACATAGAGAATGCTATTTATTTCTTTAAAGAACAAATAAAATCTTTTCACTTGTGATATGAGTGAATGTAGAGGGCATTATGCTAAGTCAGATAAGCTATACACAGGAAGATAAATACTGCGTCACCTCATGTATATGTGGCACCTTAAAATGGAATTAGAGTGAATGGTAGTTTCCAGAGGTGTGGGATTCTAGGGGTGATAGCCAGGGTAGAGTTGAATGGGGAAGGAGAGATGATCAAAATTCCAAGTAGATAACACATTGCACAATGTGGTAACTATGTTAATAATTACATGTTGAAATTACTAAAAATAAAAGCTTTTACCACAAAGAAATATATGTTGGCCAGATTTTTGTTGCTGTGACAGACAGATAAATCAATTTATGAGGAGGAAAGGTTTGTTTGGCTCATGGTGTAAGAGGATCCAGTCCATGGTTATTGGTCCCATTCTCTTAAGCCTGTTGTGACGAATATGTCACAGTGGAGAGCAAGTGGTGTAACCCAAATGCTCACTGCATGGTGGCCAGGAAGTGAGAGAGAGAGAGAGAGAGAGAGAGAGAGACCCAATGTCTCCTTCAAGTACAGGCCCCCAGTGACCTGACCCCACCTCCTCTACTACCCTTTACTAGCACCACAAGTACATGCCTGAACTTCAGTCCATTGGCCTTTGGGGGACATTTAATAAGAGACGATAAACGTGGAGGAAGTAAATTTGTTAATTATCTGATTAGTTAGCCTGATTACATGATTTACATGGAACATTACATTGTACCCAAAATGTATATGCAGTTATTATATCTCAGTGTTTTTTTTTTTTTAAGTTAGAATTAAACTCGGCACATGGATACATACAGTCCCAGCTACTTCGGAGGCTGGGTCAGTAGAACTTACATATTGACATAGAATTTATATAATAAAACTAATGCTTCTTAATACTTTGAAAAAGAAATTTATGGGAAATGATAGTTTTCTAAATAGCTTCGATTCCTTTTCCTATAGAAGTCTTTATATAAAGTCTATTTTCTGTGTTCTTTAACAAAAGAAATTATCAGTCCACATTACATGTAAAGGTGGTTATTTAACAGCAATCATTCCACGAAATTAAAAGTAATTTTATAAGCTATCACAGCATTAATAATTAACATATATGCATACAGACACGAAACAGCTTGCAGATCTTAAAATCACCTTTTCTAGCAAACAGTCATTCCTACCTCAAAAAAATTCTCCTAGTTCAGACAAAAAGTGAAAATTGTAGGAAGAGAAGTAGAGAACTGTTCTTGATCTCTATAGATTATAAGTAACTCAGTAAGTCTCCCTTTGATGAGGTCTACTGATGAAGATTAAATAGTGATACTTAAAATGCATAGTCATTTTAAGCTGTAAAGTGCTCACATTTATTAATTTAGAGCACAGAGAATATTAATAGTTTAAGACCCAGGCTTTAAAATCCAAATACAGTTTAAGGTACTGTAAGTCACAGTAGCTGAGTGAAAATATAACATTGGGGTTTAATAAGATTTTCCATAATTCAGTAATTTTTTTTGGTCAGATCATCTTTAATTGTTTGGATGGAGTGTGTGTGTGCATGTGTGTGCACACGCGTGCGTGTGTGTGTGTAACTTGGGATACTACTCCTCACCAAGCTGATTTCATAGAAATATACTGAGTGTGGAAGGAGTGTTGTATGTGGGCCATATACACATAAAAGAGACAATGGTCTGTATTTTCTGAAGAAACTGGGAGGTTTATCCTTTCAATCTTAGAAAATGTTTATGTTAAATATGAACAAGCAGAGTATAGATTAAAGATCATTCCAAAGCCATTACCTCATTTATCATACGCTTTTACCTCCAGAGCAAGCTCAACACACACTCAGTACATTTTGTTTTGATCGATATCCACAGGCTTTTCCTATTGAAGGGCTTTTTGGAAACAGTTTTATTTATAATCATGTACACTAATTAAATAAAGCTTAGACTATCTAGAGGAAATTCATTTAATTTTCAAGGGAAAAAAAGCAATCTCTGAAATCCATTTTCACTTGTCCATAATACCAGTAATATAATTTTTAGGTGATACTGCATTTCCTTTATGAAAAATTGAAATGGCTTGGCTTTCATCAAATACCGTGTTAGGAATTGCATGTGTTTAGACTGACTTAGCAGAGAGAACTGCTGACTAAGGAAACACATCCTAATTTAATTTAGAGTAACAGGAGCGTTGGCTCTGCTGCAGGTATTGAGGTGTCCGCATATCTGGCTGGCTTCAGGGATGGCATCACATTGAGGTCATTCACAGGCCGTCTCTTTCCCCTGCAGGTGGAGCGGGAGAAGGCCATCCTTCTGGCCAGTCTCCAGGAGTCCCAGACACAGCTGGAACACACGAAGGGAGCGCTGACAGAGCAGCACGAGAGGGTGCACCGGCTCACGGAGCATGTCAATGCCATGAGGGGCCTGCAGAGCAGCAAGGAGCTCCGGGCTGAGCTGGACGGCGAGAAGGGCCGGGACTCTGGGGAGGAGGCTCATGACTATGAGGTAGACATCAATGGCCTAGAGATCCTTGAGTGCAAATACAGGGTGGCCGTCACGGAGGTGATTGACTTGAAAGCAGAAATTAAGACCTTGAAGGAGAAATACAATAAATCCGTAGAAAACTATACCGAAGAGAAGGCCAAGTATGAGAGTAAGATCCAGATGTATGACGAGCAGGTGACAAGCCTAGAGAAGACCACCAAGGAAAGTGGCGAGAAGATGGCTCACATGGAGAAGGAGCTGCAGAAGATGACTGCCATCGCCAACGAGAATCACAACACCCTTAACACAGCGCAGGATGAGCTGGTGACCTTCAGCGAGGAGCTCGCTCAGCTGTACCACCACGTGTGTCTGTGCAATAACGAAACGCCCAACAGGGTCATGCTGGACTATTACAAGCAGAGCAGAGTCACCCGCAGTGGCAGCCTAAAGGGGCCTGATGACCCCAGGGGACTTCTGTCTCCACGATTAGCCAGGCGGGGTGTGTCATCTCCAGTAGAAACAAGGACCTCATCTGAACCAGTTTCAAAAGAAAACACAGAGGCCAGCAAAGAACCAAGTCCAACGAAGACGCCTACGATCTCTCCTGTTATTACTGCCCCGCCATCTTCTCCAGTGTTGGATACAAGTGATATCCGCAAAGAGCCAATGAATATCTACAACCTTAATGCCATAATCCGGGACCAAATCAAACATCTGCAGAAAGCAGTGGACCGGTCCGTGCAACTATCTCGGCAAAGAGCAGCAGCCCGGGAGTTGGCCCCCATGATCGACAAAGACAAGGAGGCCTTAATGGAGGAGATTCTGAAGCTCAAGTCACTGCTGAGCACCAAGCGGGAGCAGATCGCCACACTGAGGGCGGTGCTAAAAGCCAACAAGCAGGTAATCTCCTGGGGGAGGCAAGCTAGGTAAAACCCGCACCATCAGCTTATTCCACAGTTTCTTTGAGCTTTCCATAGTACCAAGATAAGAATTAAGGATTCCTGGTCAGTGGATAAATAAAACTAGCTACAACCCAGTACCAGAGGAGAGCATAGTGGTATTTTTTGGTGAGTGAATGGATATATGAGATAGGAGACTAGCTGTGCCCAGCTGGGTGGCCAGAGAGCAGATCAGAGGAACAGCCCCAGCTACAGCTGTGGGATTGCAGTCCAGGTGGTGTTGAGTGGAAATGAATGAGGAAATAGGAGGGGGAGGGAGGCTGAGAGGCTGGCGTGGCCCTGTTCACCAACCTGGGAGATGCACACACCGGCAGGAAGTAGGTGCAGACAGACACTGTGGAGATCTGGAGTCAGTGAGCAGACCCCAACTTGAGAGATGGGGTTCAGTTACAAGACTTGATTTCTAGGAGCACAACAAGACAGGAAAAAGGAGTCTTGGCCTTTGTACCACACTTACAGAAGCAAGGGCGCTGGGTAAACTCTAGGGTCTCAGAGTCAGGGAAGCAGAAGACAGTTGTGGGGAATGGAGCGAGAGAAACAAAGCCAGGCAGATGTTACCAACGTCAGCAATAATTCAGAGCAGCAAGACAATAAGAGGATAGGAAGGAAAGAGAAAGAGAGTGCATCTCCTATGTCCCATCTGTGACCTGAGCTTTAGGTTCAGTTGAGTGTAAGGCAAGAGCTTGAGAAGCTAGGAGTTTCTGTTTTTTTCCTAACCCGTAGAGACCCCATCCTCTGTAAGGAAAGTTAGGTGCTACAGCACGAGCCTAACTAATTCCTGTATCCTTGATGACCGAGTTTGTGTTCTACCCAGAGTTGTATATGATGAAAGTGACATGAAATACAGACCTGACAATATGATGTAGTTTATCTGAAAAGGTAGCCTCCAGTGACACACGAGAAGTGTGCTGAACAAATCCTGGGGTTGATACAGACAAGCAACAAGCATCAGATTCCTTCTTGCAAATGGAAGCATAGATCAGTGGCTTAGGCACACTTTCTCTTTTGAGACGAGGTCTTGATAATGTTGCCCAGGCTGACCTCCTGCCTCAGTCTCCTGAGTGGAGCACATGCTCTCTGAAGAGTGAACGTTAATCCTGTATCAAGCACCTTCCCCTTTTGTCCTGATCTCGGGGGAACCACACTAATGTTATGTCACCTACCTTTCTAGTCTTCATCTTCTGTTCCCATAAACCCATTAAGATTAGTTGGACGTCTGTACTATAAGCAAAATATGGTTTGCACTGTAAAGATACTTTTAAGACTCAAGAGACAAATAGTACCTTTTGTGCTGTCATTTTAGGGAAATAAAAAAAACAATGGGAGAATGAAGAATCAATGAGCTGTTGGATTCCAATTTGATGTGAGAATAAAGCAACTTTTTACCATTCAATGACTCAACAAGTTAGAGTGGTCTGAAATAACCAAAATCAGCTGAGCATGGTGGTACATGCCTATAATCCCAGCACTGTGATAGGCTGAGGCAGGAGCATCATGAGTTTGAACACAGCTGGGTGATTTAGCTAGACCCTGTGTCAAAATTTTAAAATGGGTTGGGGATATAACTCAGTACAAAGGACCAGGGTTCAATCCCCTTCAAAAATAAATGACCCAGACTCACATTAAATGAGGCAATTTAACCTTTATCCAGGATAGGGGACATTCTTGGCCAAGTCATTTAGATAATTTCTCTGATTACTACCTGAAGATTGAATATTAGCCAACAATAGATTTAGGAAGATATTAAAATGCTTTACTGAAGCAGCTGAGAACAGTCTGTCGTCTTGGAGAGACTAATTTATGAACCTGTATTCATTGATTACATATATAGTTTATGGAGAGAGAAGGTAGGCATGCAGAACTAAGTGATTAGCACTCTAGTACAATTTCAGCACAGCCTGTAGCTGCTCCCAGGACAAAACACATGAAGCACTTTGGAGTGGGATAAACAGTGCCATAGGGATTCGGACCGGACATGGCATGCCTAGCCGAACTGCCAGAGTGCTTTGTGGTGATATTTGCATTAGATTAGAGCCACAGCCTGAGTAGATTAAAGCCAAATACATTTTGAACCACACGTTTGTTACACATTTTAATGATTTTGGAGCTGTTGCTGGGATGCATATGTTCCTTAAACAGCTTCAAGTGTCCACAGATAAAATTGGTTATATTTAGATGTTGTGGAATGTTAATTATTAAGACTCAGGTGAGAATTCTGTGACTTAGGAAAAAATGGAAATCTTCTGCAGTAGGCATTCTGTATTCTGTGTAATCTTTATTATCCTTTAGGGTGTTTCAGAGGCACCCTCTTTGGGTGGAGTGGTAGAAGGTACCATCTGTGGACAAAACTGTGGTAGGTGTGAGATTCTAAGAAGACTAAAGAACAGTCACCATCTTCTAGAAGAGGACTGTGTCAGGGTGGTGGAGCACAGGCAATAGTAAGATAAGACCTTGGTGTGACATGTGCTATAACCCTCACTGCGGGGGCGTTACAGAGAAAACAGCTAATGCTTCTTTTGGGAGCTCTAGAAAAGACTTCACAGAAACAATCATACTTGAGTTTTGTTTTATTTTGTTTTGTTTTGCTTTTTTGCTTTGCTTTGTTTTGTTTAATGCCAGAGTCCTACTCAGAAGCACTGTGTCATTGAGCTATCTCTCCCTAGCCCATTTTTCAAGACAGAGTCTCTCTAAGTTGCACAGGTGGGACCAGAACTTGTAATCTTTCTGCCTCAGCCTCCCAAGTGCCAGAGTTACAGGAATGGTGCCCAGCTTTGAATTTATTCTTACAGGATAAGAAATTGTTTTTCCAGGGGAAAAAGACTAATTCCAGAATGAAGAGTAGGTACAGAAGGGCAGGGGTAACAAAAATAAGGTACTGTGTTGGGAGAATACTTGAGAAGATCTCTGGCTGGAAATAAGGCTTTTCTACTTAGAAAACTGACATTGCGATGCATAAAAAATGTAGTGAATGCAGGTGTCAGCACATGTACTAATAGATTTTAGATACTTAAAATTACTTAGTGCTTAAAAAGCTTTGTGCAGCCTGTGGACAAACAAATCTCCAAGCAAATCCACGTCCTCCTGGACATTCTTTACAAGCATGGAGCTTTTGCTTCTGGTTGACCTCCCTGTCATCATCTTCCTGTCCTCCCCTAGATTCTAACCGTGCACTCACAAGCTAGTCACGACTTCACGTTCACAACATAAACTGAGTTATCTGTTCTCAATGAATATATGTCTGAACTTTTTTTAAAAACCTAAACCATTGCCATCCTGCCACATCAACTTTTCTACCCTTTGGGTAATTTTCTGAATGAATAACATTTCTGAAGATTCCACTAAGTATTACTGCTACAGAACATATAGAAGTATTTTTTGGGTAAATTCTCACTTAAATCTTATTTTAAATTCATTCAGAACTAATAGGAAGCAACTTGAATTAAAATAGTAACAAACTACGATGTCATATGATGTCACTGGAGAACCATGTCAACATTGGTTTAATTAGGAAAGAATCTCTCTCTATACTATAAGTTGGCACTTCACCTAAGAAAGCTGAAGCTATCTATTTCAACCTTAAAAGGGTATTTTACCAATCCAGTGTAGTCTTCCTCGGAAATTCCATTAGGCATCGGGTTTTTCACTAATACTGAAACAAATAATTTTGTATAAACCTAAGTTCTTTGTTTCCCAGAATTGAATAAATTTGAGTACCTTTTGGAGTGTTTATTAGAAACTCTGCTAAGAGGGGAAAGGAATCCAGTGCCCTGTATGACAGGTAGAGTGAAGGTGGCTTGCTTGTCTCAGAGCAAATGAGTTCAAAAAAGTTGAAACTGTCTTACATTTTTAATGTGTTTTCAAAGTCAGATCTGGTTGAAGTCCAAGTCTGGAGGCAGGAGAGAGCTGTCAGCTAACTTTGTATACCTTCTTCTGGGAAGAAAGTCCTTATCTGTCTTCTGGTTGTAGCTTTTATCCTTCTTGTGCTTACCTTTGCACCTCTAAGTTTGGCTTAGCTGCTTAAATGCACTTAACCTTGAGGACTAGTTTCTTTTTTTGACCCTGTTGTGAGACTCTTCTAACTGTGAGGCATAATGACTAAGCTAAACTAAACGATCTGAATTAAGCAGTACTGTATTGGGAATTTTTATACAATCTGAAAAGCTGTATAAAAAATGACGTTCCACTTTGACTTCAGTGTGGACAACACATTCTGTGCATTCTGTGGGCAGCTCTGAAATACATGCCGTTGAGTCAGTCAGTGAGGGTGCTTTTGACTTCCAGCTCTCCCCTGCCAGCTCTGGATTTGAAACACTTGTTAATTGAGGAACTTCAGAAATGCCCCAATCCAAATTTAAACAAATATTTGAGCTCTTTCTACATTTTGGCACTTCTGGTTTTTAAAGATATTATAAAGAATTAAATTTGACTATAATTCATTGTTTTGAATAAGTTATATGAAAATACTTAGAAAATACTTGATTGTCATGTTTCCTTAAACATATAATGATAGAGTTTTTGGCATGATAAAAGAGAGAATATAAAATAAAAATAGCCTTTATTTAAAGGACACAGAGAGAGCTCCATGACGGCCAGGGTCTGGCTTCTCTGCTGGAATGTGGGGCATGGGAGATACATATAACCTCTGACCGGAGTGGCACTTAGGGTGGGCTTTGCTGATGTGTGAGCAGCTGATTGGGACTTTTTTCGCACCACTGGAGAAGGAAAAGGAAGTTGTCATAGGGGAAGGGGGAAGTGACCTCAAGCTAAACATCCTTTGGTCCCATCTCCCACTGCTGTAATATTGTAATATCATATCTAGGGCAAAATCCTTTCATTCCTATCTTTTTATTGTTAGGAAAAGGGTGAAAATCTCTTACTACTTCCTGATGAAAGGGGGTGCTGTATTGGGGTTTAGGAAGGTTAACAGGATGATGGTTGATGCCCATGTAGAAGCTGGTGTCAGCTGTTTTAGCCAGGACAACTTTATCATTGGTAAATGCCACATGTTAGATTGGAAAAACAAAGAGACAATGAGGAGGCAGGCCACTATCATATTTAAGGACCCAGGGGAGGTAGAAGGTGCCTTTGATTTAAATATGCCATTCCATCAGGATCATGGTAAGGTAGAATCATTACCATGGTGAGGTAGAATTCTAAAAAATATGTGTGGGGTTAGGAGGAGTGAAGTTATGAGAGGTGATTATTTTTTTTATCTGAAAGGGTAACAGTTAAATGATAAAGTTGCCCTGGCTAAGTGTAAGTCCCTGTAAATGTTTGGGAGCTGTGGGGTATTGGAGAACATGAGGAAAAAATTGAAGGATCCTTGAGATGAATTAAAATAGGCATGGCATGGATAGCACAGGTGGGATTGGAGGTATCTCAAACTATGGGATTGACCAGAGAAGAAAGGAGTCTGGAACCTGTGTGGAGTAGGCCCTGTCTGTAAAGGCTGCGTAGGTTGGCCATCAGCACCCACTACAGAGACTGAGGACTAAATATAGCAGCCTGAAAACTCAGGAAGAACACTCATACATGGCCTCTATGTCCATAAGTACAGAGAATGTCTTACCTGAGACCTCCAGTGCAACTTGGGGCTTAAGGACACCTTAAGGGAGGACTGTGGACCTCGAGCCCCATCAGTCTTCAGCAGCAAGTCTAAGTAGATCAGTCTGCGATGAATCTGGTAGTGATGAGATCTCCTATGAGGGCAGGTAGAGGATGGCTTAACCGCACTCTAGCGGCTAGGGCAGTCACTCCTCCAATGGCCCTTGGGATTACAAGAGGGGCAAGGCCCCAGAAGAATGCCAGGGTTGGGGCACTCTCCTGCCCAGTGTCCTTCTTTGTTGCATGAAGCATGGTCTGGGAGGGGCTCGGGCAGCTCCACCTTGTCTCATTTTACCTGTCTTAGAGCTCTAAGTGTCACTGCTAAAAGATCAGATTGTTACTTTTCTTTTTGATTTTTATCTGTGTTGTTGAAAACATGAAAAAAACATATTAAAAAAGTCTCCCTATGGGGTTTGAGTGCTTCGTTTAGCCTTTTGTCTTGGTATCTGGCCCACAGTGGAAGGTATCTGTCTCCTCCACAGTCACAAGACATCTGGTTTTTATCTTGGGTAGGTGTACAGCTTTAAGTCTAAAGGAGACAAAGGCAAAGAATCAATTAAGTGTGCAGGAGTCAAATAATACAATCAACAGGGTATTTATGATTACAACTTTAGTAATGGCTTCCCATAAAGAGGATAAGGATAAGGTCCAGGGAATTTTAGAAACTGACATGTCATTCATTTATCATATACACATTAAGTTTTACAATTGTGTAACTACCTCTTATGCCGTTAGAATGTCTAATGTCATCTGATTTTTGGAGGATGGCCTGTTTTATTAATTTTACCTTTTTATTTAAGAGAGAGATCAGCTGTGGTATCATTTAACGCCAGTTGAGTATAGTTAATTATGATCCCAGTATGCATAATATAACCTTTTTGGAAAAGATCTGGTAGATTCCAGCAAAAGGAATCCAAAAGGAATTTATAATTATCTCTTAATTTTAGTTGTTGAACATCCAGAAGATTGATAACAGTACAGTGCAGTAGAGGCAGTAAGGTTAACATAGACCATTAAATGGAACTATTATTTTGTATTAACCATACCCATGTTAATACATTTTAACATTTGAGCACTGAAGAAATTTGTGACATTGTTTGGACTGTTCACTATTTAAGCATCTCTAAGTATAACAGGTACATTATTTAAATTTTTTTAAAAAAATTATCATTTGACTGGCAACCTCATGTTGGTCTGACCTGAATCTCCTGGCTGGAACACAAGAAAAAGTCAGACATCTAGGGCAAAATCCATTCATATAATACCTTGGGTTTATAGGTTACTATCTTACACTTAACGCTGTACATTACCATGACCTTTGTCTCTTAGTCTATGCTTCAGGCTCACAGAGTATAGAAGACACAAAAATAGATGTGTTTTGAAATTTTTAGGTTTCTTTTTTTTTTCTTTTTCTCCTTGAAATCAAATGGATTAAATGAATAAATAGAAATACTTGAGCTCAACCATTTCTCACCTGGAAATCGTACTTCTTTTAAAACTTCTTGGGTGATGTTTCACATTGGCTCCCTCTTTGACATCCTACACTGTCAGGGACCTCACCAAGATCCAGGTTGCCTGTATCAAGGGTACAGCAAGAAGATAAAATAAGAAACAGAAGCAAATTTAATAATAGATGATGAGTGACTGGGAAGTCGCCACCTCTAGATGGACCAAAAAGAGACAGTCCAAGACAGCCACTGTCTTGAAGCGTACACAGTGATAGGCAGGGCTGGTTGGCATCACTCAGCGGACAAGTATAATCTTGAGATGACTCAAGTCGGTGCAGATGATCTTAATGCTAAGAAGGATCTGCCCTGGAGTGTTTTTTTAATTTAGTGGTTTTAGTTTTAATCTTAGTGGGTGGGGGACGATGGCCCATCCCTAAAGAGTTAATGGGGAATCTCAAATGGGTTGTACTGATAATCCTAAATTTCCATTTGTCCCTTAGGGAAGTATGCAAAACTAGCCGTTGTGAATTTGTGGTGCCCAACACTCACCCTCAGAGGTCTTCAGGAGGGATTTACAGAGCTGTTGTCATTCCCTTGGCTGTCATACCAACTCTGCTCACTCTGGCTTCTAACATAATGAAATCACATCACCAGTTCACAATATGTTTGATGTTACTCCAAAGTCTCTATGTCCAGTGTATGAGTTATGCTTATGTAAACTCTAACCAAATCAGTTCCATTTTCCACTTACGGAAGGAAATGGAGCTCAACCCAGTGTGAAGCAACCTGGGTAGCAGATTTTCCTGCCGTGAAGTGGTAAGCATTATGGTTTTTGTGCTTCAGACGGCAGAGGTGGCCCTCGCTAACCTGAAGAACAAGTACGAGAATGAGAAGGCAATGGTGACTGAGACGATGACGAAGCTTCGCAATGAGCTGAAGGCTCTGAAGGAAGACGCTGCCACCTTCTCCTCCCTGAGGGCAATGTTTGCAACCAGGTAAGTGTGTTTTTTCCCCGAAACTAGGGCTGCGACATAGGAGGGGCCCCACCTTCATAAGTGTGTCTTGGAGCAGTCTGGGTGAGTTGGGTGTGCGATCCAAATAGGAAAGCATGAAGAAAATGATGCCTTTCTGACAAATCCGAAACAAAACTGCACCACTTCTACCAGAGCCATCTCCTGGACACTGAACCAAGTAGTTGTATTACACAAAAACACTGGCAGCTGCTCAGCAGCCTCAGTCTGAGAATCACTCAAGCCTGGAAGTTCAAGAGCAGCCTGAGCAACCCAGAAAGACCCAGTCCTTAAAAAGCTAAAATAAGACAGTTACCCGGTTGCTATGGTAAGTTTTTGGTGGTGCTGGGGATTGACTCCAGCGTTTCACGTATGACAGGCAAGTACCACTGAACTACCTACCTTCTCAGGGCAAGAATTTGATTTATTAAAAGACTTCCAAAAAGAGAAAGCTACTTTTTAAAATAGACAAATACTTTATCACTTTGAAATATATTTCTGTGACTAAAGTATATAAAAGTGCTCACCATGAGCATTCTGTCAGGTTAATGTCTAAAAGGTAATTATGTATATCGCCAAATTTTACACATTACCCAACTAATTAAAACAAATACTAACTTCTATCTCCCCCCATGAGTCATTTTCAGGCAGCAGTGTATTTTCATTTAAAACTTGAAATAGTTGTTAAGATTCTTTGATTTGAGATTCTCAATATATAGTTGAGATTCCTCTTGTCACAGTGCAGTGCCAAAAATAATTTGAGAAACCACTAATGATGTATCTTGTATCGTATAACTTTGGCTCCAAATTCCCATAGCATAACTTTGACTTTATATGTAGATGTAGAAATTGATTTACATATAGCTGCTATAAAGAAGATCCTGAGCTTCCTGGGAATCCCCTGAATCTGTCCAGCTTTTTACTAGGAGAGAACAAGCTCCAGGTTGTGTGCGGATATCTCCTGGATACAACAGGAAGAAGGTGGGCGTCTGTGACTGGAGGTGCAAGAATTTAAGGGGACTCACTTCTGGTCACACAGCGTGGTGGCATTTGGAGATCAGAATTCACATGACCCTGGAGAGTGGGACCGAAAATAGAAATAAGCACAGTATCCCCTTCAATGAAAGAAATCAGAATTGCAGTTAGAATCAAGAGAACATAAATTTCCTCTTTGAGAAAAAAAGATATAAAAGAATTAAAAGAGCATTTACAACCTCAATATATGAAAAATGTCTTATAAGTGAATTATCCCCAACTAGTACATTTTCACAGACATTTTTCAGGTACAATAACTACTTTAACTCTGCGGCACTAAAAATATTGTTACCTGGCCGGTGTGTATTAATCTAGGGTGCTGAAAGTCACTAACTGTTTTATAAAGGTCTGATACTTACATAGCCTCGCTACATTCCTTGACTTTCAGAGGTAAAGAGAATGGCCTTCCCTGGGTATTGTGGTTTTTTTCACTGCAGTGTCTCCTTTCAAACACCCAGGCTCATGCTGCTTCCATGTGCACAGCACATTTGGGTTTACTCCAAGAAACTCTCAGCTATCAGCTGGTGCAGAGGAGTGATTGTCATTAATATCACACTGGGTAAATAAAATCAGCAGAAACTCAGAGATTTTCTCCTACAGTGCTTCTTCCTTCCAATGCATGTGGATTTTCCTTGTGGGGAAATAGGTCAGCAAGCCATTCTTCATGCCTCAGTACAAATGTGAAGCCAGCCTGGAGATATTCCTGACAGGCCAGCTACCCTCATACAAATCTCGGGTTCTTTTGACAACTCACTGCTTTACCACCTGGTTTAAAAAAATCAATATTTTCTAACTCAGGCAAACCTGCCATGTTGAAAGCAGTGTCAACTGCAGTCTGTTCTGAGCTAAAATAAAAACTGTAATTATAAATAAAGAAGCAAATGTTTTCTTTGTTAACAATTTTGCATGCTATAGGCATACCTATAATAATCCTAAATATTGAGTATGGTAGTCCAAGTATTGTAATCCCTTTTCAGTCTTCCTCAATCCAGAAAGTTATATTTGTATTCCTATTGAGGCATTATTGGACATAATGTTATTATGGACATAATTCCAATTTACCACCTCCAACCCACAGTGAGTGTAAAGACACCAAAACATGTTCAAAGGACAGCCTTGTGGGGTCCTAAGTCCAAACCCCAAGAGGATATGTGGACAAACGCCCTGATCTTAGGCCTCTCCCAGGATTTACTATTTTGTGAAGAAGGCGGGTGGTTCAAGGATGAGTGACAATGGGGATGTCAGGAACTGTGTGAGTAACTTGAGCTGGCTACCCAGGTTGGGAAAAAAGCATCTTTGCAAAATGCAGGGAGAATGACATCCAGAAGGATTAATGTGCATAATTCAGTTAAGGAAGCAATTGAATTGTTTTTGGACGCCATTGCTTCAGTTTCTGATATTTAAACTTTTGTGCCCTGGGGACTCAAAGCCTCTTTATTTTGAGGATCCTACTTAGTTGACTTTCCTGGAGCTGACTGGCTCTGCCATCCCGCTGTGATTGTATCTTTTACAGAGAGCACTATGTGAGGAAACAAGAGACTGTCTGATGGCTTTAGATTACACACCAGTAATCTAACCTTATTCGCAATGCTTAGAGCCAATTAAAGAGAGGAATAAATACCAGTCAGCTCTGTACATACCAGTATATGGAAATAAGCCTCGATCAATGTTGCAGTGGTTGTTCTGCATTCAAGGAGAATCCCTCAAATTGTCTCCTACACACAACTATAACAAATATCACATTCCTGCAAAGAATTCACTGTTACACAATGGAGAGAACCATCCATAACACACCTGAGTACACTAGTCCTAAATGCCTAAATTCCAGTCAAAAGCATAGCAGAGCTCCTTATCCATGGGGGACAGGCTTCATGACCCCCAATGGACTCTCAAAGCCATGGCTGGTATGAAACTACACAAACTTACCTATGATAAGTTTTAAGTTATTATAATTAGGCACAATGAGAGATGAACAATAGTAATAAAATGGAACGCTTATAATATACTGTAATAAAAGTGTAAATGTTGAAAGAGTAAAGGCAAGTACTCGTTGGCCTCAGATAACTGAAGCCAAGGATCAAGGAGGAGAACTGTGCTGTTTGACTTGTTGCAGTTCCAGCTCACCAGATTCTTCCTGACTGCTGTTGTGCTTGGGTTCCAGATGTGATGAATATGTCACACAGCTGGATGAAATGCAGAGACAGTTAGCAGCCGCAGAGGATGAAAAGAAGACCTTAAACACTTTATTACGAATGGCTATCCAGCAAAAACTCGCCCTAACCCAGCGGCTGGAGGACTTAGAGTTTGACCACGAGCAGTCCCGACGCAGCAAAGGCAAACTTGGAAAGAGCAAGATCGGCAGCCCTAAAGTAAGTGGGGAGGCGTCAGCCACCGCGCCCACCATAGACACTTACCTCCTGCATAGTCAGGGCCCACAGACACCCACCATGAGGGGCAGCAGTGGCACTCAGAGGAAAAGGTATGCATGCAGCGATCTTCACAGCATGGTGCAGTGGCCAGATTTCAGCTAACTGCAGAATGAATGTGCTCTTGTGTGGGATGCAGGAAGGGAAGGGGAAGCCCAGATGGGAGCTGGTATTGATGGGCCGTGCTCGTGTTGGTCTCTCCAGATCAGAACCTTGTGATAATTGTGTTTATATATTCCTTTCTGCACCCCATCCACACCTCTCGATTAATCATAATTTAATTTTCTCAAGTGTCTGTTTATATTTTTGCTGCTGTTTGTATTCATATATATGCTTCTCCCTTACCTTCAGCCTAAAAAATTGATAGACAAAGTGGATATTAAAAATGAAGCTGTGTTCTACATGAGCTATAATTTTAAAGGTTTTTGTACTTCTAGAAAATGGTGTTGTTTAGCAGCTTCTCTTTAATAGAGGCAAGGATATGAATATGTTGTCTCAGAAACTTCTGCCCATATAACCGAAACTGATGACTGATGGCCAGGACAAGACTATATTTAGATAAAACAAAATGGAAACGTATAGTCCTTTTCTAAGAAAATTTTTGTGCTTTTTAATTTAGCATGGGAATATTGCACCAGAGAAACCATTTGAAGGTTTTTAGTGGCTTGCTTTTGCAGACGTTTTTTTCTGAGTCCTGGCTATTAAATTTTTTATCTTGTGTTTTCCATTACTATGGTAAAAATTTTTGAAGAGCTTTTATTTATGAATTAAATAGTACATAGAGCTTCTATCTGTGCTTCAAACTAACTGTAATAAATCTCTCTTCCAGCATCCAAAACAGTTTCCAAGTAGGCTTATATCCTGATGTGGAAACTTTTTAAAATAATAGCAAGAATCTTAATTTATATATTTAAAAAGTTAAATGCCAGTTTAAATAATGTTGTCACTGGTGAGGCATTGAAAGGTAATTAAAGTAAAACTTTTTTGTTTCCTATATGTATTTTTCTTGGATCTCCTGCAAGACAATTTTCACCTTCCCTTTGTGATCAGAGCCGTCCCAGGACTTCAGGGGCCTCCTACCTCCAGAGTTTATTAAGCGTTCCCCCCGATCCCACCTCCACAGAATCATTTCTTCTGAAGGGCCCCCCTTCCATGAGGGAACTCATCCAAGGGCACCGGCTCAGCAAGGAAAAAAGGTTAACCGTGGCTCCACCAGGTAAACACTTTTTCCTTGGGTGCATGTGATGCAATGATTAGTTGAAGAGGCAGCTCCCCTTCCCTCCGGCCAGGCGTACCCACCATCTTCAGAGCCCCTTCCAGCTATGCCAGTGAAGACCACTGTGTGCTTAGCTTCCCCTTTCCTCCTCCACTGCCGCCAGCAGCCTTCCTCCTTCTAGCAGCCCAGGATGGAAAATTCCAGTAGGAATGCATGGGGTGAGGAAATTAGCGACAGGTGCAATGCAGGACACACACCTAGATCCTGTGTGCAGTTTGGTAGCTCAGAGTGATTCTAGCATGGTCAGATTTCATTTCCCTCTTCCTGTTTTTAATGAGATTTCAGCAAAGAGAGCCATATTTATAACAAGCCTTTTGGGCTGATTTCCTTTTGTAGTGACTCAGAATGTCTTTTCTATCATTTGTACACAGAATAAAAGTGAGCTTTTTGAAGATTTTGCTCCTCAGTTCTCCTCACAGTTCTCAAACCCTTCTTGACTTACGTTATCAGCGTGTTTACAGTTTAACATTACTGTTTTACATTTTCTTTCTTTTTCTTTTCAACATTCCCCATGAAAAGGCCTCAATAAAAAGGTCTCTGACTAATCGCAAATAAAGAAAATATAACTTCTAGTAATAAAGATCATCCTTTTGCAAAATCCCTGTGTGCCTTAAGAAATAAGTTAGAGGTGGCAAACAGGAAGTCCACACACAAAATAAAGCCAAGGACAGGTAGTATTTGAAATTTCCAGGGAATAAGAAATTAAAACTAACTCAAGTTAGTAGTCAGCAGTAACACAATCAGGGGCTTCACTTAAATGTGTGTATTTCTGGCCTCTTTTTAAAGATCGGGTATTTGGCAGCTCTGGATCTGTGGTCAGGCCTGTCAGCTACCCCTGAGCCTCTGCAGCAGATGCCACTGTAAGGCAGGTGGACCTTGCACTCTGCCACAGTGCCATTGCTCACACTGCTGACACTTGGCCTCCTGTACTCGTGTTTGTTACCTTCTGGCTTCTGCTATAGCCTTTGAGTTTGCTCCTTTTGCCATACTTTTTTGTTTTGGTTTTGTCATTTACTTTGATTTTACTTCCTACTTAATTTACCTCAATTTTACCTTAATTCCTTTTTGGAAACCTCAGCCTCAGGACCTCTGGTACTTTGTTATCTGACTCATATAATCAACCTACTGATTGGGATGAAAAGCTGTTGTCATTTCCAGCACATGGTCAACACTCTAAGACTGTCCTAGGAAATGGGTGATAATAAGTTGGAATGGCACGACAGCCCAAATGCATGTGTGTGCATCACTCTGTTGGGCATTTCTACTTTCATAACACATTTCCTATTGTTATAGACCCCTTGGGAGGTACCATGAGTTATTCTGTAACTCACCAGAGTGGTGATTAGTCATCAGAACACTTAACTCGGATAAAACCCACAAAATCTTTTTCAGTGCTCCAAATGGATTTCGGAGCCCTGCCTCCTAGTACTTGGAAAAGTAATAGTGCGGTTTTTATTAACTCCTGTTGTATTTAAATTTTAAAGGTAACATAACAATAAGATTAAAATTAATAAATATTAACAATAACTATTTTCATTTTATATGACTGTTTGGTCCTTGTATACATGAATGTGTATTTGACATCATCATCATTACATTGTAGAAGTCATTAATTACTGTTATATCATAAACTCTTCCATGTTGCTGGTCATTTTTATTTTTAAGGTAGTATCTTCAATTTTATTTCCGATGTTGTTATTGCATTGTTCACTCCTCTTACTGGCTGAGATAGTTTTTCATGGTTTGTTATATTATATAATGGTGCTGATTGCAATATCCTTACGCATTCCACTTCTCATCTATTCAGGTTTTTCTCAAGAGTGAGGCCATAGTTTAGAGGCTGAACATCATTATGATTTTTGCTCCATTTTCGTGTTGCAGTCAAAAGGATGTAACTGTACTGACTATGCACAAAACGCTTTCCCTATATTGCATTCTACAGTGTCAATATCTTCAACTCTAAGGCTAGTTAGTGTACATGAAGGAAAATATCATTGCATTGTTTTGAATCCTTCAGTTCTGAATAACCAAAAGATATCACCACCCTTAGAAATGATTGCCATATACAAGTGGCAATATTGTAGAAATACAGATAATAAAATTCAGAATTATCATAGGACAGAAAATAACATTAACAATAACAGCATATTGGTAAATGTTATATTTCTAAGTATTTGCTTGAAATTAAAGTAACAAGAGGAAAGAAAACAAAACTGTTATAGTTTGAGAATTTTTCACGTATATATCACGAGTTCAATCAGATTAACCCTTAATAAATTCTTACCATGTCAATCCAACACTTGCTAAAGACCCTGGTTAAATGAATTACTATAAAAATTGATTGTCTACACTAACTTGTAGCTTTTAAAAATGTCTACGTGCTTGACATATATTATATTTCTGTGACTAAACCATATTGAGTAAGATATATTAAACATTTATAATGCTTTTGCTATATAAAATGTTTTTACTATGCAGGAAAAAGGCAGATGTGTCACATATATAACTGGATATTAGTATATTAAACCTATGAGAAACAATAGATCTTGAGTATTTTTTATTCATAAATTTAATATAAATTATTGATTAGTATAAAATTTTCTGGCTGGTAACAATATACATTAATCATTTTAAAAGACAGTTTCTTGTTAATTCTTCCAGTGCTTTGGATGAGTGTTGGTTTTTTTGTTTGGTTTGGTTTTTTGATACCGGAGATCAAATTCATGACCTTGTGCTTGCCAGGCAGGCACTTAGGCCGCTGAGCTAAACCCCCAGGCTGATGAATGTTTTATAAAATACATATTTAATGTATGTTTTAGGCTGTTTTTATCATTTCAGTAAGCAGATAATGGGCTTTATTTTTGAGAATCATTGAAGTAATTATATCAATAAAAATGAAATTTTCTTAATTGGTTAAGATGTGGAACATAAAATGATTTTACCTTTTGTAAAGCATACTTTTAAATAGGTTTCATTTCTCTGAGTTTGGTCAGCAGAAAACCCTCTCTTCTTAAAGGCACCATCTCTGGAGAATAAGCTGTTGGCGGACCACTTTGTGGAACATCACCAAAGTGTCCCGTGCTGGTTGGGTGGTTACGTTAGCACAGCCTGCTGTGGGGAGTCTGGCCTCACCTCCGACTTTGGCTCAGCTCTGGTCAAGTCAGCCCCTGAAATTCTGGCTTCCAACTGACACTGTTGACTTCTTGTCCTACCACACACACTCATGTGTCCTCCTCGTGCTCACCCTAGTTTTTCAGGCTAGAGGACCAGCTTGGATGAACTGGAATCAAAGGGACCCAAGTCATCAAGGAATTTATAATAAAGCAACAGATGATACATCTTTATCAAATCATTTATAATCAACATTTTATCTCTTTTGGGGGAGGTATCAGGGAGCAAACTCATAACTTTGTACTTACCAGGCAAGTACTTGAGCCAGTGAGCTAAATCTCCAGCCCTTCAACATTTTATCTTGATCCCATAATAGTCTGAGTTTTAATAGTAATAACAACAATAGTAATGTAGTAGAATTATTAATCTGTAGTCAAAACCAGTCTAAACTGAGCTTGGTGGCATATGCCTCAAGATACTGAGATAGGAAGATGTCAAGTTTGAGGCCATCTTGAATTATGTAGTGTGACCCTGTGTCAAAAACAAACCAAAAAATCAATTCATCAGAATATATAAAAAGGAATCTACCTGATTCACAGGCAAGAGATGTTATTTTTGTAATTAAAATCTGAATGCATGTGTGCAAGACAGGTAAGACATTTCAATTTTGGAAAAGCAGGTGAGAAGTCTCTTCTTGAAGTAGCATCCTAAGCAATTTGCTCTTTAGGTTACTACTCCGCTAGTGGGAGAAAATAGTATTATTTGTGATATTATAGATTTTGCTGATTTTAAAAACCTTAAAGTCTACAGTCAGTAGCTGGTTGCGGTGGTGCATTCCTATAATCCCAGGACTCAGAAGGCTGAGACGGGAGGATTGTTGCTAGTTTGAGACCAGCCTGGGCTTCACAGTAAGCTCAAGGCCAGCTTAAACTGTATAGCTAGACCTTGTCTCAAAAAGACAAAAAAAAGTCTATAGTCAACATATACCCAGATATTTTCATAGTGAAAAGTGCTTTTACATTTCACTGCATATGAACCAGAAAACATTTTCCTGCCTCTTGTATTGCAACGTCCACTTACATGAAAACTGCATTTCTTTCATTAACATTTGCCCATTCACTCATTCATCAAAATGTATTTGAGTACCTGCTTGTCAGGTACTTTCCTTGGCTCTTGGTATACAATGAAGTTCAAATGAAACCACACTCCATCCTCCTTTAGAGGACTCAGTCGTGGGCTGGGTTTGTAGCTTAGTGGTAGAGCACTTGCCTAGCATATATAAGGCCCTACATTTGGGAGGGAGGGAGAGAGTCACATTCTGATAGAAGGAAGTGGGCACATAAGTAATAGTGCTAGTAGATGCTTCTGGAATAAGTAAAGGTGTAAGAGAGATTAGGGACCTCTTCCCAGAAGAAGTGCTGCCTGTGAGAGGTGAAAAATAGTGATGAAGTTCATTAGAAGAGGAACAGAGCTTGTGTGCACAGGCCATGAGCTCATAGCTCCAGTCTGCTCAGGACTTGGAAGTGATCGGAATGAGACTAAAGGTGAGCAAAGACTAGGACCCAGAGGGCAGATCGGAGCTGGCCAGCTTCTTGCCATGGTGCTAAGAGTAGGGCCAGTGCACAATGCCACCCTGACAGCTAGGTCGGGTAACACCTGAGGTGAAGAAAGGCTGTGCAGACTAATGAGACACCCGGAGGAAGGGGAAATGCTGCAGTCAAAGCTGAGGAAGAGAGATTCTTGCATGTGCATGCAGGGGTGATGCCCAGTGTGAGGCCAGCATGTCCTGGGCACGTGGCCCACCCTGCCCTGCCGATTTCTCCCTCACC